AAAAAAAAAAATATCCAGACATCACCCGAGCCCAGAGGGGTCAAAGCTGCAGTGAGGCATGATCATGCTACTACAGTCCAGCTTGGGTGGCAGAGCAAGACCCTGTCTCAAAAAAAAAAGACAGGAAATTTTTTCTTCTGAATATATATTTGTTTAGAGTGAGGGACACCTCTGCTTTCCCTTAGGAATCCTCATATACCTCCTGCGCCATTATGCTGTGATGACAACTGGGAATAGGAAAAAAAAAGTGGAGAAAGACATGAACCCCCAAAAGGAGAGTTAGTTCTTCAGTCAGGTTGGGGAGGTGTGCAGAAAAATCTGAGAGAATAATTTGTGGCCCTCTAAAGAACCACAGCACATAAATACACAGTGTAATTCTGATAATACATTTTTATGGTGGGGGAATGATCAGGGAAAAAGTCTAGTAAAGACCCTTAGGGGAGTGATAATGAAAAGTTCTTTGGTCTTAGATTGTCTCTAACCATCTCTTCCAAGTGGGTTTTGATGTGAGGATGGTCTCCAAAACTTCAGTCTTCACTTGTTTTTACACTATAGAAACCATAACTGTAGATTCTGGAATAACAGCTGGGACATTATCTAGAGGAGAGGTTTTCGAAATTGGTCTGCAGATCTCTGGGAGTCCCAACACTCAGGGAGGATCTGTGAGGTCAACTGTTGGGACCGTGGCATGAATCAAGGTGGTGGCAGCCAACTACTAGTAAGTCTTCACTGCCTTGTACTCACAGTAAGAATTTTGCCAGCTTCACTTAGCAATGTCTTTGATAGAACCAGTAAAAATTATAGCAAATGTTGAAGCACACAGGCAGCACTTCTGCTGTGCACTTCCACATAGGTATGGTTGCCTTGAGACAAAGCACTTGTGCAGCTGAACAGCAAGCTGAATTAGTTGTGTTCCTCGTGGCATACCCTTTGTAGTTGAAAGAACTAGCAAATTGTGATACTTAGACTTGACTATCTGGCTAACATTTTCTGAATGCAATGAACCTTTCAATTTAAGAGAAACTGATAGTGTTGCCAGTGATAAAGTAAAAGCTGTCACACAGAAATTAGCATTTCTGAAAATTTGAATACTGTAAACTTTATTGGCAATACTAACAAATGCGATTTGTGTAATGAATTGCATCAACATTTGGAAGAATTCAATGAACCAACATTTTCCAAATGATTAATGAATGCATGATGTTACAAAATAATTTATGGGTAAGAGATTTTTATTCAAATTATAAAGCAGGCCAGTGGGTTTTAATGTAACAAGAGTGCATAGATAATTTTCAGATTCCACCTTGCCTGTAAGAGACTACCACTTTTAGAGTCTTGGTGCAATGTCAAAGAATAGCCACAATTATCTAAAAAGACTATTTTATTTATTTATTTTTGAGTTGGAGTCTCACTCTGTCACCCAGACTGGGGTGCAGTGGCCGCTCCTGGCCACTGCAGCCTCGACCTGCTGGGCTCCGGTGGTCCTTCCGTCTCAGCCTTCCAAGTAGCTGGAACTACAGGCGCGCGCTACCACGTCCGGCTACTTTTTGATTTATTGTAGAGATGAGGTCTTGCCAAGTTGCCCAGGTGGGTCTCAAGCCTGCGGGCTCAGGCAATTCATTCACCTCAGCCTCCCAAAGCACGGGATTACAGGCTGAGCCACCGAGCCGGCTTAAAAAGTCTATTTTAAAACTCTACTTTCCACCTATGTGTCTGTGAAGTCAACTTATTTCAACTCAAAATAAAGTTTGAATGTGAAGCAGCAGTAAAAACCCAACTGTTTCTTATTAAGCCATTAGAGATATGTGGACTGGTCTCGATGGCTTAGCCTATAATCCCAGCACTTTGGGAGGCCGAGGCGAGTGGATTGACTGAGCCTGCGGGTTCGAGACCAGCACGGGCAACTTAGCTGGGCGTGTAGCGTGCGTCTGTAGTTCAGGCTACTCGGAAGGCTGAGGCGGAAGGTTCGCCAGAGTCCTGCAGACCGACGCTGGGGTGGCTGTGAGTGTGCATGCCACTGCACTCCAGCCTGGGCGAAGGAGTGAGACTCCAACTCAAAAAAAAAAAAAAAAGGCCGGGTTCGGTGACTCAGCCTGTAATCCCGCGCTTTGGGCAGCCGAGGTGAATGGATTGCCTGAGCCCGTGGGTTTGAGACCCGCCTGGGCAACTTGGCGAGACCTCATCTCTACAATAAATCAAAAATCAGCCGGGCGTGGTAGCGCGTGCCTGTAGTTCCAGCTAGTTGGAAGGTTGAGTGGAAGGATTGCCGGAGCCCAGCAGGCCGAGGCTGCGGTGGCCGGGATGACACTCCAACTAAAAAAAAAAAAGATAACATGAAATTGTAAAAACCTACTCTTCCTAGATTTGTTGTAGAAGTAAATTTTCACAAGAAAATGTTAACATAATGAACTTACTTTTAAAAAGTGAATTGTTTTAATACAGTAAGTATCAATAGATAAAACCTAGGTAATAAAAGTTCTTTGGGCCATCTCCAGAACCATGAGAAATTAATGTTATTTAAGAAAAAGCACGGGACACAGTGGCTCACTAGTTTGGGAGGTAGAGGCGAGAGACTGCCTGAGTCCAGGGGCTCGAGACTAGCCTGGGCAACTTGGCAAGACGTCACCTCTACAATAAAACAAAAAATTAAGCCAGGCGCAGTGGCTCAGCCTGTAATCCCGTGCCTTGGGAGACTGAGGTGAGTGGATTGCCTGAGCCCGTGAGTTCGAGACCCCCCTGGGCAACTTGACAAGACCTCATCTCTACAATAAATCAAAACTTTAGCCAGGCGTGGTAGCGCGTGCCTGTAGTTCCAGCTACTTGGAAGGCTGAGGCAGAAGGATCGCCAGAGCCCAGCAGGTCGAGGCGGCCACTGCACTCCAGTCTGGGTGACAAGAGTGAGACTCCAACTCAAAAAATAAATAAATAAATTAGCCAGGCATGGGGGCGTGCACCTGTGGCTCCAGCTACTTGGAAGGCTGAGGCAGAAGGATAACCTGAGCCCAGCAGGTCGACACTGCAGTGGCTGTGAGCGTGCCACTGCACCCCAGTGTGGGTGACAGATCGAGACTCCTACTCAAAAAGAAAAAGGCTCTGAGGTTAATTTTTTGCAGTGCAAAGTGGTTCTAGGACCAAATTTTTCGAAAACTGGTGACCTAGGGAAACTGTCCTTTGAATCATCTTTTTTTTTTTTGACTTGGAGTCTCACTCTGTCACCCAGACTGGAGTAGTCTCGACCTTCTGGGCTCCAGTGATCCTTCCACCTCAGCCTTTCAAGTAGCTGGAACTATAGGCGCGCGCTACCACACTCGGCTAATTTTTTGACTTATTGTAGAGATGAGGTCTCGCCAAGTTGCCCAGGCGGGTCTCAAACCCGTGGGCTCAGGCAATCCACTCACCTCAGCCTCCCAAAGCGTGGGATTACAGGCTGAGCCACCAATCCCGGCTTGAATCATCTTTCAATTTTATATACTCTTATTCCTAAAGAACAGCAGAAGACAAACCTGAAGATCTGGACTAGAAAAATGTTTACCAAGATTTACTGGGTTATATCCAGCTGGTACATTTTCATCCCCCTTCTGGTGCCTCTTCGGAGGGGACATCAGAATTTGAGAATACAGATCTTGAGGAACCTCCAACCTGTGATGAATTCACCGAGGTCCAGTGTTGGCTCCTGCAGTAGCGCTGTTGTGTTGGTACTACTGGGAAGGGGGGTGGGGGGACAAGGTCATGAGCCTGACTGAAGCTGTCCACCAATGTTCCCTCCTCCAGACGGACTGAAATGGCTACAGGTGACAGCACAACTAAAGAGCAGGATTGTCCTCCAGAAGTATTCGTTATAAGCTAGTGGCTAAAGAATCAAATCTTTTTGGCCAAGTCCTTAGGTTGGAAAAAGAAAATTTTTAATTTGAAATCACTGCAAAGACAAATGGTTTCTTCAAGTTATTTTATTAGAATGTCTGACACAAAAGGAACTAGCAGAACATGCCTAAAAATGCTGTCTACAGCCTATATGTGACATGACGCCTGTAGACATTGGTTCCAGAGTTCGGACTGCTAGGTGGCAAAAGGGAAAACGTTAGTGAAGATGGGACAACAGCAGCCTGACCAGCCAGCCCTCAGGCCAAAAACCCAGTTCTCCATAACCAAGATCCCTACAACTGCACACACAGGCTTAGCTGTCCTAACCCAAGAGTAAATGCCTTGGGCCTCAATCTGAGTCACTGTCAGTCTCAGCTTCTTTCACATCCACACTGAATTTATACTCTTGGTCACATCCCATGTAGGCGTCACTCATGAAGTACAGAGTGTAGTTGTGGGCACCAGTGGCTGGGGCCACAAAGTCCAGCTTCACCTAGAGAAAGCAGGCAGAAATCAGGTCAACCACAGACACAGAAAGAATTCTCACCCTGCCCCACCTCCAGCACAGATGCTGGGCCAGTGGACGCATTTACCTTGGCCTTCTGCTGCAAGGTCAGTCTCTTGATAGAGATGAGGCTATTGGACTTGGCGTCTCCAATCACCACCCACCA